GGCAAATATTAATAACAATGTTTGGAACATGTAAATAAATAATCTTATACCTACAAGTGTGAAACTTTTTAGAGATCAATTATACCTAAAAATACAGTATAATGATAGTCTACCGCGTCGGAAGCGGGGCCATCAAGGGTCTACCACTCACGGAAGGTGTTGAAAAATTAACTTCTTTGACTTATTTCTACAAGACCGTTTTTTTTTTCTCAAATACTTTAGTTTCTAAGAGAACCAAAGAAAACAGTCTACCGATCATCTAAGGATGTAAAGTGTAACCTGAGGGGTTATTTCTTTAATTATCTATCTTTAATTAATTTACTATTTAATTCTCGAAAGAGTTACTATTTAATTCTCGAAAGAGTTACTACTTAATTCTCGAAAGAGTTACTATTTAATTCTCGAAAGAGTTACTATTTAATTCTCGAAAGGGAGTTTATTTAGTTATCGTTATACTTTAATTAACACGTGGGAACTTAGAAATGTTGTATGTTCAGAAAATACATTTCAGTCACTTACCCTTTCATTGCTTACGTGGAATGTAATCCAGTGGCTGGCTATACAGGGTGACACTGAAGTTGGAGAAACAAAAAAAGAACACCAAAACTTCCAGGAAGGGTTTTATTAACAATAAACAGAACAAACAAACAAACAAAATGAAAAACATAACGGCTCGACGACATTATTAATGAATTGATTCAAACGCGACAGCGTACCGAGATTCAGGGAATGTGCGCTTCATACAAATTTGGAAAAACTTTATCTATTATTAAATTTACTTAACTAGCCCGAGACTCTAATCTAAAACTAGGTCGACTGCTCAATATGAAATCTAAGGAGGAACTGACTTTTTCGAGATCCTTCCTGAATTCCACAATTCGCTTTGACCACGCCCATTTCTTGGGTCCAGAAGTTTCGGTTCTCATCTTATTGGCGAGAACTCTGAATCTCTTCATGTCTTAATAATTAGGTTAATAATTATCTAATTGACTTGACTTACATTTATATAAGAATAATTATACGACTTACTAGTAACCCTAGCCTTCCCCTATGACTCCGCGTAGCAATTACGGGACGAATTAGTCGATCTCATTTAATCTACCCTTATAGCTAGGAAAAATCCGTTAAAAAACCCAGCTGCTTAGGTATACTCTCTTTTCGTATTACTATCAATTTTACAATATAATTTAATTCTAATTTGGAATCTTCACGCTCTTTCTCGCGGTTTCGCGCGTTATTAAAAAGATGGGGTTCTACGCGGCGCCTCCCAGACGCTTAACACATGGCCTCGACAGTCTAAGTGAACTTGTTAAAATATTGGCAATTTTCTCCGAAGGACTGTCTTGGCGACTTACTATTTGAAAACCATTAACCCTCCGATAATTTGTGTCGACTGAAATATCTTACTTTTTGACCCATACTTCCGAGAACTAATAAATGACTGACGGCGCGTCCCGGCTTTTGTTACAAAAGCCTTGATAGACGCAATGGAATGCACGATTTCCCGAAGACTGTCGCTGTGCCAATCCGCTGTAAATCGCTCTGAATAATTATTAATTAGTCATGTAGGGATTAAATTAAAGTCTACAAAGATGCTTTTTTGTCTATAAGTAGTTTACGATAATTATCGTCAAATAAACGTTTTTTACCTTCGATACAAATTGGCTCAAGTTTCGGTAGACGTGGCTAAAATTTTTGCGCGCGAGGTTGTTTAAAATTCCTAATTTAAATAATTATAATTTTTTGAGCTTGCACCATTATTAATACGTACGATATTAGTAATAACGAGCGAGCGTTGGCAAGCGAGATTTTTGCTACTATACAATTAGTAAAAATTGAAAATACATTTTTTCAAATAACTGACCATTTTTTTTTAACGTTGAATAATTAAATTTATTTCACTTTTACTTATAATTTATATCCACAACGCTTACCAAAGCCACACTGGTAAGCAGCTAGCACCAGGGTTGTCGATTTTGGATTAGCAGTAAATACTAATTGGTACAAAAAAAACAGAATATGCTGAAAACCTGGTAATTTACAATAAAATTGGAAAAACTTGAAAGTGGAGTTATGTAACTTGAAGTATTGTGAAGATACTACAAAGTACTAATAAAAAACTTATCAATAACTATGAAAAAACAAATAGATAACATTTTGATTTTTTTGTTTGCCAATTTAGTACAATTCACTAATGGTAGTTTGGTTTGAGTTTATTTTAAGGTTCTAGATTTAACTGATAAAACGACTAACCTTAAAACCGATATAAAAGTAAGGAAATTATCTGGTGACACAACGGAAAGGAATATAAAACAATCATAGATAGAAGAACGAAACGCCAAGGAACTTTAATAAGAGATCAAATTACAACTGCCAAGTTAACTTTTGTTTTGCTAATTTTTCACGATCAGGATTTTGGCAGAATTTTCATGATTTTCGATAATAAGGTAACAAGGAAATACTAGAACGTATACTAGTTTCAAATTAAAAATACTAAATACTATAGACTAAATTCAAAAGATCAAGAGGGGATGAAACCCCGGAAAGGTCGGAGCGGAGACAAACATATTTAGGGAGCAGGTATAAAATCTTTTGAATACCCTGAAAGTGATCAGACACAGCAACCCGTTGATCCACAGAGGCTGCCGGCAGATGCAGGCGGCCTAGACATCAACTTCTGGATGCAGGGGAGTCGAAATTTTTCTGTCTGTTTCATGACCGCCAGGATCAAAAACCGAAAACGACGACATACACACACACACACATCTCCACCCTACTTTCCTTACCCCTCTCCCCTCCCGCGTTAGCTTAATGGCCACCTTAACACAGTGCTTCCTAAACTGCATAGCTGCGTGACCTCACCCACACACGACACCCCTCGGGGCGGGGGTTTACTCAGATGAGCCGACGAAAAAAGAGGAGCTCCAGAAGAAATGGCCCTTTCCGGCTGGGCCCAGCCAGGACAGGAAAAGTCGCCACAAATTAATCGGCGGTCGGAGATGACGGGGAAAGGGCCTATATCTACGAGGTGTCCGAGCCTACAGCGAAGAAGTGGGTAAAGAGCTATAATCCCGCTCGACCCCGCTCCATCCGAAGTCATATATCCAGCCAAGGATATTGGCTCGCCTTTTGAACAGCCAACCAATATTCGCCGAGCCTGAATAACAGTAGCTTACTGTACTTTTCGTCAATCAGTTTACTTCCAAATTATTTAAAATTAATTATAAAATCACAGATTATTTTGTTATTTAATTTAAAAAAAAAACATACAACAATATATTTTATAAATAATAATATAGGATTGAATAAAAAATAATTATGAAATTAATACAGGGTGATTTTGAAAGTGGGTAGTAATTTTAGTATGCGCCTACTTATTTCAACAACAAATGTTATACAAAAATAGAAGAATAAAATGTTATTTATAAAAAATCAGAAATAACTCACATATTTTCGCATTTTTAAATTATGTAATCCGGTCCTGTACACTCATAGCAAATGTTCAAAATTATTTCCATTTTCCTGTGACCCGGCGGACCCATGATTCAGTGCAAGAAGTTAATAGCCCATCATGTTGGCGGATTGTTTCGGCAGCGTTTTCTATCCTTATTCGTAATTATTCAACACTGGAAACTTCAGGGTCATCATACACTAACATTTTCATGTGTCCCCACAATTAAAAATCACAAGGATTTAAGTCCGGAGCGCGTGGAGGCCATAGAATTGGTCCATTACGTCCGACCCATCTGTCATTAAAAACATTGTTTAAATGATCACAAGTTCATTATTACTACACACATCGGCCATTGTTTTATCACTCTGCCAGCAAATTAACATAAAAAGATACTAAATACGCAATACAAAACACCAAAATGATAACGAAAACACAATTCGTTTATAATACGTACTAACTGAATCAAAGCAAGGACTGCGCGCGCTACTTAACACGTGGCTTATCGATAACGTATCGGTCAACATTAGCGTGTTCCGTTGCTTCACCTAGTAGGGTAAGTTAGGGATGTACAGAGTCGGCTTCAAAATTTGCAATAACTTTAAACTCAGTTATCTCGGTTAATAAAATTTATTAGAGCAATTTTTTGCAAAATGATTTATTTTAATGCCTACTGTCATTAGTTAAAATTAATACCCCACTTTCAAAATCACCCTGTATATTGCAGCTGTTTATAATAAATATTGTATTTCCTTAATATTGCAATAGTTTGAAAGCACGTCTACCCAAGCTTTAGCCACCTTGTATCGAAGATAGAAGACATTTATTGACAATAATTATTGTAAACTACCTATAGACAGAAAAGCAACTTTGTAAATTTTAATTTAATCCCGGTATGAGTTATTATTCAGAGCGACTATTACAGCGGATTGGTGTAACGATTGCACTCGGGAGATCGTGTTTCCATTGCGTCTATCGAGGCTTTACACCCTTAGATAATCGGTAGACTATTTTCTTTGGTTCTCTTATAAACTAAAGTATTTGAGAGAAAATATTTAGCCTTGTAGAAACAAGTCAAAAAAGTTAATTTTTTAACAACTTCCGTGAGTGGTAGACCCTTGATGGCCCCGCTTCCGACGCGGTAGACTAACATTATACTGTATTTTTAGGTATAATTGATCACTCTACAAAGTTTCACACTTGTAGGTATAAAACATTTAGGTATTATTTATTTACATGTTTCAAACATTGTTACTAATGTTTGCCCCCACATTGGCGCGGTAGACTGCCGTTCCGTTTACTTGCGATATCAAAACAACAAAATGAGAAAAAATAAGCTTTTTAGGACATCAATAGTGTCGCTGCCTCCTGGCCTATTTTTTTTTACCATGATTTAATGTGGTACAGGCTTGGCTCTAGGTCAGGTACACGATGTAACTTGTAGTTTGAATTTCATTACTGCCAGTTCTCTTATAGTAGTAGTAATAAAACTTCGAATGTCCACGTATTAAGTTTATGTATGTGTTCACACTGATTTTTTTATTGCAGGATGCTGGGCGGAGTTGCAGGCCGTCACATGTCCAACAGACGGAGGGGCTCTTCACCGGCCATCAGGGCGGGAGAAGAGGGCTTCTCCCCGGCTAGATACGCGCGAAGGAGGAGAGCAGTCACCACATCCGACCATAAATCATGTGCCCTTATACAAACTAGGCTTAAGCTGGGTGACATTATGTAAGTCAGGCTTTAGATCTATTTTTTATTTTAGTAATAGTTTAAAAGATATTTAAAAGAAAAACATTGTTAATAAGTCATATTCAAGTTGCCGTATCTTCGCCAAAATCATAATTGACCCATAGTTCATTTTCAATTTCTCGTGTTAATTTTTTTTAAAAGAAACGCCTTGCAGATGTTTGGTAATCGAATTAAGAGGCAGGGAGTTGTAGGAAAAGTTACCAAAAAATGTTTTATTGACCGTAGGCCTATCGTTTTTTGGTGAGATACAGGGCGTCAAGGAATTTTTTTTAAATTTAGCCATATCTTTTCCAAGAAATAGCATAGTTTATTGAAATATGGTATAGGTAAGTTCTCTAGGATGTCAAATACGTTAGTTTGTTAGTGTTTGACTTTCTGCTAGAGGTCACCAGCTACGATCTTACCCAGTGACGTTACATGAAGACTTTTTTGAGATCAGGTTTATTACGGGTTTTTCCTATGTTATAATGTATAAATTGGTACTCTTGTAAAGTTGCTGAACTAGCACCATTCTGTACAAGCTTCTATTCCGTAATTCAAAGGGTTATGGGAAGGGAATCGGCTATACTTCAGGGATAGCTTCCTTGGATGGAAATAAATCGATATGGATGAAGTTATCTTAGTTCAAGGTGTCTCAAACTCTAGAGTATGGACCTACTGTGGGGATACAAAATATTTAAATAAAATTTGGTACACGTGGTGTTAAATGGGATGAGGTAAGCTCCATTTTCAATCCAAAGTATTATCTTTGGAATTTGACAGAAACTATTAATGACGTAATTTTTTCTAGAAACATACCCAATTTTTTTTCCTGTTAAAAGCTCTCTTTTTTCTAATTAACTTTTATTATAGAACATTTTCTTTATTACTTCCCGTTTAAAAGTTATAAGCAATATCGTCCTAATAGTACAGACGGTATCTGTTTCAAAAAGCCATATTTGGGTGAATCGTGGAGAGATTTTTGGCTTTTTGGCTTTCAAATATCACTAGAAATGAAAATTTTTCTATGCGCATAAAAAAAAACGTGGGCTTAACTTTTGGCGGCACAATATGTTAAAAAAATTCGAAAATGTCATATTTTTCTTCCTATTTAATTATGTATCTTTTCAAGAGTTGATTTTAGGCGAAAATGGAAGAGGAAAAAAATGTTTGCAATTAATTTTTTTACAAAACAAGTCCAGTTACAAATCGAATGAATCATGTTTATTATGGTAAAAATCGAAAAAATCGCAAAAATGGGGTTGAAAACAATACTTTTATACATGTAGGGAATTTTTTGGGGTATTTAAATTAGATTTAGGACCTTGATACTTGGCTCAAAAAAACTTCGTGTAGAATTATCACACCAAATTTCATCAAAATCGGTTCGACAGATTTTGCATAATAATTTTGTAATCTAGATTTTGAAAAAAAAATTGCAAATTTTCAAAATTTTGCACAGCAAAAACCAAGGCCCTTAAATACTTGGAAATTTAATCACATATAGAAGGACTCTCAAGCTTTCAAACTTTTTTTGAAAAATTCGAATCCGTCAATTAGGAGAGCTCTAGCGCTTGTTTAAGCATTGGTCGAATTTTTGTACTTATAAACAATTAGAACTTTGTGAATATTCAATCAAATCAAATTTTTTAAAGCAGGTTTTAAAAGTTCTTGGAAAGACGCTTCTTTAAAAAAAAAACAGATCGATTGAGCAATTAGTTACATAGTTATAGCCGTCATTTACACTAAATGTACTGGGACATCCGGGCTAATCAATAAATTTTGGTATGTTTCTGGAAAAAATATAATTGATAACGTCATTAATCGTTTCTATCAAATCCCAAAGATTATACTTTAGATTGAAAATGAATCTTACCTCATCGCATTTAACACCACGTGTCCCAAATTTTATTTTAATTTTTTGTATCCTCACAGTAGACTTATACTATCGAGTTTGAGATACCTCTACAATCTTGTTTCTTTAAAAATTATCGGCTACTTTGATTGAAATATGAAATTATATTTTTTTAAAATGCTTGTAACTTCTAAACAAAAACGAATCAACCTATGTTCATATAAGAAAAAATGTTTGAAATTATCCCAGTTACCATCTGTCAAAGTTTGTCATGGAGCTTGACAGCGCATAATCTAAGGGTTAGTTCTAACCGAAAAGGCAGTTCTTAAAAAAAAGTTAGTTCTAAAAGTTAAAAAGGACAGTTGCAAAATTTGATTGCTTGAAGTACTATGATATTGAAATTTCATGAATACTTAGGTTAATAAATAAGTAAATAAATAAATAAATAAATAAATAACATAAATTTATTGAAATAAAACAATGACTATGTACTTTGAGTACAGTACATGAACATTTAAAATTAATACACTCGAAATGATATAATAAAGAATTAGAGTTTATTGTCCGGCATTTAAAAAATACTGCATTTTTTTTTGGGGGGGGGGGGTATTGGGGGGCTTTATGTTGGGAACAATGTTTTTCGTCGCTTTCTTTGAGCTAGCATAGCGTGATAGATTTTGGGTAGTTCTTAAAATTCCTTAGATTATCCCCTGGAGTTTGAGACAACCCCGTATTTAAAAAAACTTAAAAACTTATTTTTAGTAAATTTGAATATATTACATAATTTTTTTGGAAATTACATTGTTTTTTTTTGGAAGAGGTGATTAAAATTTGATTTAAAAAAATCGATTTGACGTCCTGTATCTTAGAAATAAGAAACGGTAGATTTTTGGTCCATAGGAAAAGAACGTTTTATATTTCGACGTCCTATATTTTAATGTAAACATATAGTATGAAAAGGGTCCTCGAAGTAGGCCATAGCAAGCCTGTTAAAAATAACACCTGACTGTCCCTTATGTCGTAGATGTTTATTTATTAGCGCCTCAATTTGCCTTGTGACAAAATTCCCAAAAGAGAACAATTGGCTCATCTCATAAGTTTTCACTTGACAGAACTAAGACCCTTATTGAAATAAAACCCCTAATGTAAAATGGCAAGACCCACCCCTGTAATAAAACTTATGCTTCTTAAAATATCGGCCTTCCTAGTCGCAATATGCAACAGAACTGGGAATTAATATCATCCGAGTAGCTAAAACCTATTCGGCTACATCCAATTAAATTCAGCTATGCACAAAATAATCTCCAGAAACACTATATTCTCAAGGTAGATTAATTTATATAGTAAACGAGGAAACTCGCTAGTTTGTTATTATCTCTTCGGGTGGATTTTCTGCGAGGGGCTTAATTCCGCGTAAAGGGATTGCATATTCCGGTACGAGTAGTTTGGGTTTCCTGAAAATTTCAGAAAATATGTATAAGTACGCCTTTCGGCGGAAATTAGCAGTGGCGGCTTGTCCGGGACGGCAAAATAATTTAGAAACTTATTATAAAAGTTATTTCTGTTATAAGGACGTGCAAATAAACAGTTTTCATTAAGCAACCTGTGCTGTTACTGTGTGTCACAGAAAATTAAACAAAAATTATTACGCAGAACTTAGGCCGACCCTGCATCGCCCATTTAATCAACTGATCAACAAGTACAGTGCAGTAACTAGGTCAAGTTCAGTGTGGATGTGTGTTGCAAGACGCGAGCATGGACCTGTCTTGCTTCCTGTCCTCGAATGTAAATTGATTTCCATTTTGTTATGCCAGAATGCGTCATTAAAACTAATAGTTACCGGATATGGTAATAACTTACGGGGAGTGCGAATATGATTTAAATATGACTTGTCGTTTATATGCGAATCGTTACCCAAAAGAAAACAATCGATTAACAGAAACTCTGTCGGGACACTGATAGAATATAAACGTATGAAGGTCGTGAACCAGAAAAACCAAAACGTGTCTTAAAAAGGGAGAAAGATATTTTACAAGAGGAAAACCTGAGCCGCAGTACCCCCGATATTGCAGACAAAATTGGTATTTCAAATAGTACTGTTTGGTTTGTATTTCTAGAATAATTACTGCATCCTTATCATGTACTTTGACTCAGAGGCGGCTCGTGATTGTGAAAAAATGAGGCCAGTGGCTTTTTTAATAGGTGGATCACGTATAGGTGTAAATCTTTACAAAGAGTCACTGTCATACCGACTTTCTAAGTATTGTAAGCGATTTAAAAATTATTGTTGAATTTAAAGTATTATGGCACATTCAACTGTTACACAAAGTATTGAAATTTTAATTCTTATCGGATGCGGGGATAAGACTAGAACGCAGCAGGAAGTTTGCGATTTATTTAATGAAAAACATCCATATCGCCATATCAGCCAATCAACAGTCAGTAAGATAGAATCTAAATTTAGAGAAACTGGCAATATTCCAAAACCTGGACGTCCAAGCGTTAGTGAAGATCACAAACAGAACATTTTGATAAGTATGGTAGATAATCCTCATAATACTTCAGGATTGGTTGCATTAAACAATGAAATTAGTCAGACCACAGTGCTTCGTATCCTAAGGAAGGAAAAATATCATCCCTACAAAATTCAACTTGTGCAGGAACTCACTGAAGATGATCCCGACCGCCGCTTACACCGAAATTATGATGGATTTATGTCAAGTAAATAGAGATTTACACCGGCAAATACTTTTTTCAGATGAGGCCACGTTTTGTCTCAATGGTACAGTGAACCGTCAAACTTGCAGGTATTGGAGTCGGGAAAATCCTCATTGGATGGCAGAGACACATACCCACAGAAATTAAATGTGTGGGCTGGAATAGTTTACAACAGAATAGTAGGGCCTCTCTTCTTTGAAGGAACCCTTACAGGAGAAAGATATTTAGAGTTTTTACAAAATGACCTTGGTCCAGCGCTTGCAATAATTTTTCCTAACGATAATAACCCTGATATTCCTGATGACACCATATGGTTTCAGCAAGACGGTGCACCTCCGCAGTATGCGCGCCCTGTTCGAGATTTTCTGGACAATTGTTTTCCTAGGAGATGGATCGGCAGACGAGTACCGATAGAATGGCCCGCGAGATCC